TTTTTAGGTCATTAAAATCCTAGCTCTAGTGATAACCTACCTCAATAATTCCGCATCGATTGCTACATCATCACGGGATGAAATTTCCTTGGTAATTCAATTTCAAATAATACAATTCATTTTTTGTTGTCAAATTCAGAACAACTCGATACAAATAAACTAAATCCACAAATCCACAAGTSAATAAAATGTAACAATTTTTAACATATTATTTAGTTTAAACTTTTTAAACACAAGTGACAACCAAACGCTCGTAATTAATTGTAACGTAACAAATCCCATTTCAATAMAAATGAAAAAATATCCGTTGAAGTTAACAATTATAGAACGTTAACTATATAGTATGTAAATGGCAAATAATAAACATGTTTACGGAAAAAAATGATTAACAGACTTAAAATTCAYTTTTTTCGTCTTAAATTCCGTTGTACAATCAATCATTAGCCGAGGTAAAAAATTAGGTACCTATCTAGGTACCACRATGTAGTTTCAGAATTATCTACAACATTTTGACAACCGACCCGTGGGACAATAATAATTAGCCTCGGTCTCCACCACTGCAAAAACCGAAAACGGGCGAGGTGTAAGAAACAACGGAATAATAATAGTACGTAAGTCACTTACCGACAGTATTATTATTATTGATGGCAGACCAACTGCTCTGCTCCGCGGGTGAGTAGTGCGACTTGCGACAGTCGGCGGCAGACTGGCGCGAGATTGTCGTCTGTGCCCAATCGATGATCGTCTTCGGCGGTAAGTGCAATAAGGCTATATTGTGGTACCTATATATTATTATCAGCCTTTTGATCGCGCGGCGGTGGAGGGAAAGCAGACGATTCGGCGGTAGCCTCAGACGATTATGATAATAGCAATATGATATTAATGTTGTTGATAAATTGCATTATTCCCGAAGAACATTATTTTATCGTATGTATACAATGTTATATACGCGCGAGGAATGTTGGTGGCGGTCGCACATAATACCTATATAACATGTGAGATGACCTAACCGGACGGTCGGCTTGCGTCAGATTCGAGGAAGACGAAGGAGTCGAAGAAGAATGTAGGAATAAGATAAAAGATAATCAACATAAAACGATTGTAAATAATGTAATATTACTACGTTTTAATGATATAATATAATATATATATATAATATAATATATATATATATATTATGTATAATCTATATGACGACGTCCGTTTTTTTTTTTATCGGCATGAAATAAATACAATTCTATTATATTATTATAATGTGTGCAT